AACCAATTCAACACTGTCTCGTTATCTAAGCATACAACATTGCAAAGATATCACCTTGTCAAACTTATAAGGGAAACACATTCAAAGTGGACCTATTTCAACTCCTTTTGTCTAAAGCATGTCTTTGCGTGTCTTTGGATGGGGTAGGCTGTATGCGATCCTGAGCTAATGACCACAACTCACTCTTGGTGCCAAAAGCAGGAAAGCAAGAAAAGGGCATCCGCAGGGTGCTAGAGATGGTTATCCAGCAAATACAAATAGAAGTCTAGCCCTTTTTAGCCTGGAAAGCATTGCCAGGCCTACTCTAGGAGCCCATCTTTTCCATTTTACGATTTTCTGCCTCTCCACCATCACCAACTACACCACTATACACATAAGCATTGCCAGCTCTTCAAACCTCCCTGTGTACCTTCTACTAGATACCCTCCTCAGAGGCACATAGGGACTTGATCTTACTCTTTCTTAACTTTTCCAAATCTTATGCAGATTCCAGAAATTTCTCTTCAAACTAGAAGCAGAAACAGTAAATGGGCTCTTGTTAATTCATTCCATAGCACTGTAGACTTTTAACCTTGGTGGCTTCTGTCTGGTACATAATTGGGAAAATATAAGATTTCTGAGCTTGGTAGAGCACACAGAGGAGGCTGGTGGTGGCCATTTTGAAATCCACACTAGATCATCAAGAAAAGGGCATGGATCACAGCACATAGTCGCTCAATCTTCTAGTTCGCTTTACTTCCACCTTGATCACTCCCATGTCCCTGATTAGGTCATGATTTGAGAGGGGATGTCACTGGAGTTAAAGGATCATGCAGTTCTTCTAATTATGGTGTCGTCATATCTTAGGAAAGCTTGTGTCTCTGAGTGAGATCAGACCACAGCCTTTGTGTCCCCAGCATGGGTATGCCATGGGCCAATGGCCACCAAAGATTCTGCCACCAAGGGCCCTCTGCTGTAATTTACATCAGCTCAGTTTGTAGGAGTCCTGCTAAGGGTGAAATAGGTCATAGCTGTTGCACAGTTATAACTCTTGCTATTACAATTTCTCCTCCTGGAGCATATGGGACACAATAGAATAGAATTCTCAATTTTAGGAAGGAATTAAAGTCCCCACAGCAACGTTATTATTTTTAATGAAAATCTCTGGCTTGCGACATGCCTGTGTGGGTTTAATATCACTATTGTCATGTCCTGGCTTCTTGACTTTGGACACATTGTTGAATCTCTCTGTGTCTTAGTATCTAACCTATGAAGTGGGCATACTTATGGTACCTGTGTTATAGGTTGGTATGAAGATTAAATTACAAAGTCATGCAAAGCACTCAGAAAAGTAGCAAGTGTATAATAAGTGCTTATTAAATACACACTATTAAGATTCTCAGAGATGGCTGGTATTTCATATCATCATTAAAAAATTAAATCAATCTAATATTGATGAAAATATACTCTATTGTTGATCTAGATCCAGTGATTTAAACTTTGAAATAAATCACACCTTGTCTTGAGAGCAGTCACGTTGGTTGGAATGGCAGCCAGCAATAAGGCTGTCTCAATCTGATCAGCAGCTCTGTCTGAGTGGATGCAGGTATTTAACACAAATATGAAACCCAGTTATTGCATAACAATGCAGTTGACTTAATGGGCAGAATCTATAAAAATAAAAGTAAAAGTAGACACTTATCAAGATTTCCTGTATTTCACTGTTGATATGATCTGGTTCCAATCTTGACTCTGCCTCAAAATAGCTGTGTGATCTGGGAATCATCACTTAACATCTTGAAGCCTTAAACAGAATATTGTAATGTTTTCAAAATGCAAGATTCAGGGCCTGACCCACATACATCAAGTAATAAATGGTAGTGGTGTTTGCAGTGGTTACTTACAGTTTAATGGAGTTCTTTATGGTGATAGGTCAGGAATGTGGGCGTTTCTAGCTTGCTCCATGGAACAGAGTTTGTTGTGGATCTATGATCACACAGGACCAGGATCTAGAGATCATGAGGGGTGTGTGCCAGCAATTAATAAAGCGTCCAGTTCAGGAAAAATCTAAGGAACGGCAGATGGTCCTGCGAGGAGGGTGGCCAAGGTGGGGTGGGGTTCGCAAGTGGGATGTGCTTGTGAGGCTGAGGACTGGGTTGTGATCATCAACCTTAGGGCACTGAGACCCCAGAAGCCTGAGCAAGGGCTGCAGTCAGCCCTGCCCCTGCCTTCAGTCAGGCTGGATGGAGACCAGGGAGCCTGGGTTTCTCCCAGCCTTGCCCCTCCCTCCCTCCTGCTGAACTCTTCCTACCTGGGCTCTGAACACATCCCAGAGTTACAGAGCTGATGTCTGGGTGACAGTGAAACAGGGTATTCATTTGTACAAAGAAAACAACCTGGAATGATAGTGTTCGGATTTTGGGGCTTATTTCTTCATAGGATTGAGAAAGGGTGAGGCTTAAGTCCCAAGCCTTCGTGAAGCAATGGAGAAAGTGCCGTCCCGAGGTTCAGGTCCACAACGGCGCTGTGAGGCTGAAGGGGCGCGCTAGAAGTTCCCTTCACAGGACACCACCTCACCTGAAACCCTCCTTTTCAGCTGCCACCTGAGGGACAAGATCTCCTAAGTTTGTCCATGACTTACCCCCGAGGAAAACCCTCAGGCAGTTACTGAGGGACTCTGGTCTGGACTGGGAAGTGTTTTTCTCAGTGACACATCTGAGGGCAACGCTCAGTGGAGTCCCACAGACACCTCTCAGCATTTCCTGCTCAAAGCCTGGAAGGATGACCTGGTAACACTGGAAAATGCTTAGTAGTTCTCCCGGAAGCTCTTAATTTTAATCACTTGTTTATTGTCTCCATTCTTATAGATATGTAGGCTACTCGAGAGCAGGAACTGAGTCTGTCTTGTTCACTGTCTACCCTCAGAACCTCACACAGCACCTGGCACTTAGTAGGTGCACAATAAAATAATCATGGAATTAATATACTCAGTCTTTAATAGGTTATTTGTTATAATCCACTGTCTTCCACCTCTCATGTGTGGTACGCATTTTAACTTTACGTTCACTTTCTGATATACATTTTATCCCCTTATATAAATTTCTAACGTATAAAATAACACAAAAGTATCACTACCTTCCTTGTATTCCTATCAAAGAATCAGTAACTACCAATGTTAGTGAAAACAGTCAAACTGTAAAGTATTTGAAGATTTATTCTGAGCCAACTATGAGTGTCCAGTGCCTATGGGGTCAGCCTGAACTCCTTCTGATTGCAGGTTCAGAGCTTTTCCACTCCACCCTGTAAGCTGGCTCTGCTTCTGTCTGAGAAATTGTTTCATATTTTCCCATTCAGACTCCATTAACAAACTAAATTTGGAAGGGAAGGGTGAGAGGGGGCCATCTGAATCTTGAGTTCCTTTCTGTTAGCAACTTTTCAGGAGCTTGATTGGAGAAAATAATAATAATAAACGTGTTTCTTTCTCTACTTTGATAACCTAAAAACTTGAATGAGTTGAGGACTAGGATAACTGTATTTTCCTCAACTAGAAAATGGGCTTGTTTTGAAAGGAATACAAATGGTGAAATTCTAGTAGTAAATTAGAATTAATTTACTCTTGGTCCCTGGGTGGTCCTAATTACTGTTTCTTGTCAGAGAGAAGGGAGACTGAGATAAATCACAACTTCTGCCATTATGAGGTTCATAGACTCAGTAGGCTGTCTAAATTCTGAGCTCAAGTTTCTCCTTTCAAAATAGGGAGAGTTATATCTATTTTTGAGGGCTGTTGAGAAAGTTAAATGAGATATTGTATATAAAATTTATAATAGGAACTGAATAATGAGAGTGACCTCCTGCCCCACTTCTTGGGATGTGGATGAGTCTCTGGGAACACACTGGGTAGCACATGGATCTCCTCTCTCTCTTTTAACTCTTTCTCTCTTAACCCATCAAGCTCTGGTAAAAATAAGATTTTACGTATATCAAGATTTCTTTTTGAATAAGGCATATAATGAGTCTCTTTTTTTAAAACTCCTGTAGAGAAGTTAATGATAGTCACTGATCCAGTCAACCTGGGTTAACAAAGTTTTCAGTGAAGGTTCAGGGAGGCTTGACCTGTCATTAACACAGCCTTGCTTAACTCCTAGACTGCAGCAGACCCTTGGTTCCCAGGTTGTTTTATAACCTGGAAAAAGAGATGTTTTATAACCCAGAAAAAGGCTGCCATGCCCTGCACCTGGTGGGCCTCTCTCCTCGGGCCAGGCCCAGCTCCCACCCACTCCCTGCTCTGAGCACTGTGAACTTATCCTGCTCCCAGGCCCACTTTGCATAAACTCCAGCGGTGTGAGAGCGAGCCCCACTGCTTCTCTCTCCAGCTATTCATAGCTCTTCGGCAGGGTCTCACTCTCAGTACTAGATGAAAATGGTTGCTTCTCTACAGCATCCTGTTCCTTACCTGAAAATGCAGACATTTTGCTAATCTTTCTTCTATTACTTGTTTTCAGCATATTTTCTTCTTTTAAAAAGTTTCATTCAAACTGCCTAACATTCATTGAGCTGTTTCAGTGTCTCAAGCAATGATGACAGCTTATAGCAAAACAAAACAAAAAAATTGGTTGGATTTGGTCTCTGCCCTAAAGTGGTTTAGATCTAGTCAGAATAACAGGCTTCTGGCCAACTGACAGAGCAGAATGTGCTTAGCAGTGATTTCCCCTTAAAGGATTCCTAGCATTTTCAACCCAGGAATCATGATTCTGTTAACTAAGCAAATCAGAGAAAGGGGAGAAGGCTGCCAGGCTGAGAAAACTGAGGACTCTTGCCCTTCTGCCCAGTTGGGCTCCATCTTTCCAGGGTAGCATCTCAATCTGCAGGTTCAGTAGATTATGTACCTCCCAAATGTCTGCCTTCCTACCTTTCAAATTAGTATCAATCCTCATTCTTGTACAAACATTGCCTTGCAACATGCATTTCTTGTAATTTCAGTATCTTCTCACATGGGTGTTGTATTAGTCCGTTCTCATGCTGCTATAGGGACCTACCTGAGACTGGTAATCAATAAAGAGAAGAGGTTTAATCAGCTCATTGTTCTGCAGGCTGCACAGGCTTCTGCTTCTGGGGAGGCTTCAGGAAAGTGACTATGACTATCATGGAGGAAGGTGAAGGAGAAACAAGCACATCTTCACATGGCTGACAGGAGAGAGACAATGGGGGGTGGCTGCTACATGCTTTCAAACAACCAGATCTTGTGAGAACACTATCACAAGACAGCACTAGGGGAATGGTGCTAAACCATTGAAAACCACCCTCATTATACAATCAGCTCCCACCAGGCCCCACCTCCAACACTGGGGATCATAATTCAACATGAGATTTGGGTAGGGACATAGAGTTAAACAATATCATTCCACCCCTGGCCCCTAACATTTCAAAACACAATCGTGCCCCAATAGTCTCCCAAAGTCTTAACTCATTTCAGCATTAACTCAAAAGTCTGAGTCCAAAGTCTCATCTGAGACTAGGTAAGTCCCTCCTGCCTATAAGCCTGTAAAATCAAGAACAAGTTAATTACTCACAAGACACTATAGGAATACAGGCATTGGGTAAACTCTCTCCTTTCAAAAGGGAGAAGTCAGTCAAAACAAAAGGGCTGCTGGTCTCATGCAAGTCCGAAACCCAGCAGGGAAGTCATTACATCTTAAAGCTTCACAATAATCCTCTTCAACTTCTTTGACTCTGTCTCACATCCAGGCTCCCTAGGCCTTGGGCAGCTCTGCACCGGTGGCTCTGCAGGGTACATTTCCCAGGCTGCTTTCCCTGGTTGGTGTTGAGCACCTGCAGCTTTTCCAGATGCATTGCGCAGGCTGTTGATGGATCTACCATTCTGGGGTCTGGGGTACAATGGCCCTCTTCTCATAGTTCCACGAGGCAGTGCCTCAGTGGAGACTCTGTGTGGGGGCTCCAACTTTTCCCTTCCCCACTGCCCTAGTAGAAGTTCTACATGAGGGCTCCACTCCTGCGGCAGGCATCTGCCTGGTCATCCAGGTGTTTTCTTAAATCCTTGAAATCTAGGCAAAGGCTCCCAAGCCTCAACTCTTGCTCTCTGTGCACATGTAGGCTTAACACACATGGAAGCTGCCAAGGCTTCTTACAGCTTGCATCCTCTGGAGCAGTGGCCTGAGACGTATCTGGGGCCCTTTATAATCATGGTTGGAGCTGGAGCAGCTAGGACACAGGATGCCATGTCTCAAGGCTGCACAGAGCAGCAGGGCACTGGGTTTGGCTCACAAAACCATTTTCCTCTCCTAGGCCTCTAAGCTGTGATGGGAGGGGCTGTCACAAAGCCCTGGACATGCCCTGGAAACATTTTCCCCATTGTCTTTGCTTTTAACATTTGTCTACTTTTGCAAATTTCCAAACTTTTGCAAAAGGAGCAATATGTTAATAACTAAGAGTTTTGCAAATTTCTGCTGCTGGCTTGATTTCATCCCCTGAAAATGGGATTTTCTTTTCTACTACATGATCAGGCAGCAAATTTTCCAAACTTTTATGCTCTGCTTCCCTTTTAATATAAGTTTCAATTTCAGATTGATTCATTCAGATTCAATGACAGATTTCAGATCATGTTTTTGTGAACACATATGAACATATGTTGTTAGAAACAGCCAGGCTAAATGTTGAATGCTTTGCAGCTTAGAAATGTCTTCTACCAGATACCCTAAATCATCTCTCAAGTTCAAAGTCTCACAGATCTCTAGAGCAGGGGCACAAAGCCACCAGTCTCTTTTCTAAGGCATCGCAAGAGCGACTTTCACTCCCATTCCCAAAAAGTTTCTCATCTCCATCTGAGACCTCAGCCTGGACTTCACTGTCCATCTCACTATCAGCATTTTGGTCACAACCATTCAACAAGTTTCTAGGAAGTTCCAAATTTACCCTCATTTTCCTGCCTTCTTCTGAGCCCTCCAAACTGTACCAGCCTCTGCCTCTTATCCAATTTTAAGGCTGCTTCCACATTTTCAGGTATCTTCATAGCAATGTCCCACTTTTCTGGTACAAATTTCTTGTATCAGTCCATTCTCACACTGCTATAAAGACATACCTGAAACTGGGTAATTGATAAAGCAGGGAGGTTTAATCAGCTCACAGTTCTGCAGGCTGTACAGGCTTCTGCTTCTGGGGAGGCCTTAGGAAACTTACAATCATGGTGGAAAGTGAAGGAGAAGCAAGCACACGACTGGCAGGAGAGGGAGAGTGAATGGGAAGGTTCACTTTCAAACAACCAGATCTCATGAGAACTCTATCAGGAGACAGCACAAGAGGGATGCTACTAAACCATTAGATAATACCCCATGGTTGAATGACCTCCCTCCAGGTCCCACCTCCAACACTGGGGATGACAATTCAACATGAGATTTGGGTGGGGACACAGAGCCAAACTATATCAAGTGTCATATTTTTTCTTCCTGTGTCTTATTTTATAGCCTAGACAGGTCTCACATCCAGATCCAAAAGGAGGACATCACTGAAGCTCCTAATCTTTCCTTTATATTTTTCCTCAATATTAAACATTTATTCCAGGACATTGTTGACTTATATTCTAATGGCACCATACACATTAGCTGTATTCCTTTAGGTGCACTTTAAAAACTAGTTATAAAGGCTGGGTATGGTCACTCACACCTGTAATCCCAGCACTTTGGGAGACAGCGGTGGGAGGATCACTTGAGCCAGGAGCTTGAGTGCAGCCTGAGCAACATAGAGAGACCATGTCTCTACAAAAATAACAAATTAGTCAGGTGCGATGGTGTGCACCTGTGAGCCCCGCTACCCAGTAGACTGAGCTGGGAGGACTGATTGAACCCAGGAGGTTGTGATTGCAGCGAGCCATGATTGTGCCACTGCCCTCCATCCTGGGCCATGGAGCAAGACCCTGTCTCTAAAACAAAGCAAAACAAAGCTAGTTATATGCTGCAGTAATTATTTAGTTATTCTATCAGGAATTCTGAATATTAACACTTGAGAAGATATGTAGTCTACAGATACCAAACCAGAAAATATTTTCTCCCATACCCCAGAGGACATTCAGCAATATCTGGAGTGATTTTTGGTTGTCACATCAGGACAGAAGGTGCTGGGTAGTGCTTCAACATAGGTAGGTGGAGGCCGGTGATGCCTTGGAACATCCTATCATGAACAGGACAGCTCCTGCACCCAAAGAATTACCAGCTCAAGGCGTGCCAAGGGTAAGATGAGAGACTTTTCCTTAGCCATTTTCAAGGTTTGCTGTGAGTTGGTTAAACCCTAGATAGAGAATGTGACTTGTCATCTAGCTAATTAATGGGAAAGACTGAATCAGATTCTAGTTTTCCTGACATTCAGAAATCAATTTATTCCTATTATAAATTAACCTTAATTTGGAATTTTCACAGCTATAAAGTATTATAGTTGCTTATATACACATTGTGTCCCCACTAAATTGTGAGGTTCCCAAAGAGCAGAGAGGTCTCACAGTATGTTTTAGCACAGTGTATTGCACATGGTAGTATTACAATATCACTGGTACTTGGATAGAGCACATAGCAATGCTAGACATTTTAGCGGTCACAGAGATTTCTATAATTTCATCTTTTGAACTTTCTTGATGAGAAAATCAAATGATATGGAAAAAATTAAATAGAAAAATTAAATAATAGATTCAAGATAATGGATCAACCAATCCTGATTATCAGACTCAATTTTCTACAATTCAACAGAATTAATAAAGATATGGGTGTGGCTCACTGAGTAGACCCAGAAGGACTAAGGAAGAAGGAATTTGGAAAGAGCAAGGCTATCAGGCAAGTGTTTAATTAGGCAAAGGACAAGGATTAACAGGTAATTGTTGAAACGGGAATGTGAAAATTCACAAGAAGGGCATTATTGTTTTTAATTTTGTTAGTTCTTAATCTAAGTCATCTTGCTTTATAGAACTAAAAGTTCTAAAGACTTAGATTCACCTGTAAGTTCTAGATAATTGCTCTCAAAAGATTCTGCCTGCCTTTTGGAGCATAACCACCTTAAAGAAATATTGAAAAGCCAATGGCATCAACACTTGACAACAAATCACAAAGCACTTCCCGAAGGAAGCATTAATGTGTGATATCTACCATCAAGTTGTAAATTAGAATTCTGTTTGGCAGGTGTTGGTGGCTCTTTTCTCAGCAGGAGATGGAG